CAATTAATGAAATCAAAGTTTTAAATTAATTTAATATCAACTAATACTTTTCCAGTCCATTGCAAATGTAGGAGGTAAATATTTATTTCAATATAATTGCTTATTTTAAATTTTAGAGATAACACAGAATATGTAAGATGCAAATACTATCAACTAGATAATACTGGGGATAAATGGTACAATATATGTAATTGCATAAGATTTCATAGGAAATTTAATAAATGGACAAGTGAAGATACAGAAATTGATGAGTATATTCAACAAACTCAACTTACAGCAACTAAATATAAAGAAGTTATTAAATGGATTCCATTTGATAGATTTAATAATATTGAATATTTTGCTAAAGGAGGTTTTGGTAAAGTTTTCAAGGCAAGGATGTCTGATGGATTTATTCATTATTGGAATTATGAAAAAAATAATTGACACAGAAATGGTAAACAAAATGTTTGCTTAAAAAGTCTTACTGTAATGCTTCTATAAATAATGGTGAATTTTTATAAGAGGTAAAATATTTTATATTATTTAATTTTAATTAATTAAATAAATAATAATTCTTTTTTATTAATACTGAACTGATTAATATTTTAGATAAAAATCAACTCATATTTCGAGGTATAGAGCAATTGTAATATATGGAATAACTAAAAATCCAACAGAAAATAAATATATGATAGTTATGCAATATGCAAAATATGGTAGTCTACGAAAAATATTGAATAGTAGCTTTAAAGAATTAACTTGGTGTAATAAAATTATGAATTTATTTTACATAGCTTTAGGACTTGCTAGAATTTATGAAATTGGCTTAATGCAAAAGATTTTCACTCTGGTAATATAGTTAATGAAACTAAAATTAGTCCTATATCACCGATTTTGGGTTATGTAAATCCAGTTTCACAATGTGATAAGAAAAAATTTATGGAGTAATTCCATATATGGCACCTGCAACATTAAATAGAGGAGAATATACTCAAGCATCTGGCATTTACTCATTTGATATGATTATGTATGAAATTTTTACTTGTTATCCTCCTTATTATAATATACCACATGAAAAACTTGTAATTTTAATTTGTGATGGTCATAAACCTGAAATCATGTGTGAGATTCCACAATTGCTCAAAGATTTAATGGGATACTGATCCTTCCAATTGTCCAAAAGCTGTAGATTTGGAATTTCAACTTATGGGATATCCTGATGATGATCATAATAGTGAGATAAAAAAGACAGATTGAAAAAGCTAATAAGGCTAATAAATTAAATAAGAATTTTGTTCAATATGATCCAAAAATAACAAATCCTCAAGCAATATACATAAGTAGACATTTGCCCTTTTTGAAACCAAAGAAAGTTGAAACTATTATGCATGGCAAGTGTATTTTTAAAGTAACAAGTAATTGTTTTTATAAATATTAACATAAATTATTACTTTAGATACAAACAATGGAATTTTGAGATTCCTGAAGATACAAATAAGCATTATATTTCTTGAATTATTTGCTTAGTATGTTTAATTTTAAAACATAATTAACAAGATTTAAATTTGCATAGTTGAAGAAAATGAAACTCCAAAGAATTAATCATTACTTTATTATTAGCAATAGTCATTTTTTTTTATTTATTTGATCACTGGAATTATAGAGTATAGCTTTTTATTTAATTAAAAGCTGACCAGTATGTAATCAATTAAAATAAATCGTTATTATTGTTTTTATTTATGATATGCACAGAAATTTGATCATTAATTTGGTTCATCTAACTAAATTAAGTAATAAACAAAATTGTCATTTATTATAGTAAGTGCAATAACTCTCCTATTTTTAAAATAATCTTTTCTATAAAAAAAGTAATAATTTCATATTCTTAAAAAATATCTTCATATCATTATTGACCTCATTATTGTTGTTTTCTAATGATTCTAAAATAAAAACATAATTAGAATTTTTTTCATCAAAATAAATGATAAAATAATAAACTAAATACAAATACTTCTTTCTTTTTATTTTTTTTGCCAATTATAAGAATTATTATTTTTGCTAACTACATAATTGATTACTATGAATTTGATAATATTGATTATAATTATAATTGTTATTTGTGTTTATTGGTGTTATTAGTATCGACGTTATCGTTGGAATTAATAATAATGATACTTCATCTTTATTATTAATTGATAAATATATCTAATAGTGATCTTTTGTTAGTGTTGTTATTTCGAAACTTGTTTCATTATTCTTTGACACCATGAATTATTACTATTATCCGTTTTCCCACCTTTAAGAAAAATAAAATAAAGTAGTAGTATAAAAAAATAAATCCATTATTAAAATAAATAAATAACAATGATAAATAAAAATTGCCTAAATTCTTTGAATTAACAAATAATATCTTAAAATATTACTAAATATATCTTGATGTTTTTTTTCGTCGATATTTCTATGAATTTTAAGTGATGATAAACTTTAATTTATTCCATTTGATTATTAAAATATTCTTCAATTCAGTTCATCATTTCTTTGGTGTCTTTAATCTTATCTTGTCTCAGTTTCGATTTCTTTCATCATCTCATCTTCCTGACTATTATAACTGATGTTTTCATTGCCATTATTTATATTAATAAAGCAAATCTCCTAATTTCAATATTAAATCTAGTTATAAGGATTAATATTAATATGCGTTTAATATTAAAAATAAATTATTAATTGTGAATCGATGGTAATAAATATAAATATAAAGCAAAGGAACTTAATCATTAGGATTTCTGCAATTTCATAGGATATTTATTCACTCGATCATTTATGATATTGCAATAATAATAATTATCTCAATATTATTTATATTTAATATTATTTATATTTAATATTATTTAATATTTAAACAATAGAGTAGAAGATGTCATCTAAAATCTATTTTTAGCACGAGTATTGAATTAGCATATTGTATCAAAGATATAAGAAGAATTTGTAATATCAACAATGATATGTAAAATAGATAAGAATAATAATATATAATTTAGAAGTCTAATAATAATATATATTTAGGATATTCGAATATTTATAATAACTAATTCTAATATTTTTAATCATCTTTATAGTGAAAATTCGTTGGAAATTCTTGCAAATGTTCCATTTATATTTATTACTTCATGTTTTAATGCAATCACACGAAACATTAAAATGATGGATATCAAAATATTTTTCTAGAATTTATAATACGAATTTAAGAATTTATCACATTTGTATATGCAATGCTTAATTAATTATTTTTAAAATGTTATACAATAATCCAATTCAATTAATCATTAATTGTAACATATATAAAAAGAAATTGAGATATTTTTTATAAAAATCTTAAATTATTTGAATTCATATAATAATTTCTATTCTATACTTAATTTTAAGATTTAGTAAAATAGTGCTTTATAATTTAATAAATAAGATACAAATAAAAAATATATAATATTAAATAAAATAAAATTTATAAATTAAATATATCCAAATCATCATCGTCACCATCATCATCACCTAATTAAAAAATAAAAAATAAATAAAAATAAATTAGATTAAATATAAATAATTAATTATATGATACTTACTAGAATTTATGTGGTAAAAGATTTTGTTAATTCTACAAGTTTTTTTTCAAAATTTTCATCATTTTTAGGTTTTCTTTAAATAATTCATCAAAAGTTGGTCGATGTGTAATTCTCGCATTCCAAATCGCATAATTATTTGTGTAATTAACTTAGGTGTGTGAAATGATTTTTTGGTCGAATTCCATTACATATTTTAAATGCCAAATCTTTATCATGCGACACATCATGATATGGGGGAATTCCAGTAATTAATTCATAAGCAAAAAATGCAAATGAATAAACATCAGCAGCCTTTGTGTATTCCCCCCACTTAATACTTCAGGAGCTATATAGGGTAATACTCCAGAAATGGTATTCTTTTGGGAATTTTTTACGTTATCTGTAATTAATTTACTCAATCCAAAATCTGATATACATATAGAATTAGATTTCAATTCATATTTTAAAATATTTCTGGGATGAAAATCACGATGAACTATATCTAATTCATGATTTTTTTCAAAATCTTTGGCTAATAAAAATAAATGCTCTAATTTATCTGCCCAACTGATATTATCAAAATTATAATTTAAATAACTTCTAAGACTTCCACCTTTATAATATTCTAAAATCATCATATATTCGTGAGTTTTTGGATCTTTTGTAATTCCATAAAGCATAATTTCAATATCACTTGTTCTTCTAGAGAGAATTACCATCTAAATAACATATTTTTTAAATTATAATTAAATATTTTCAAATAAATTTCTATACCATATTTATTAATAATTTAAAAAATATTACTTAACCTCATTAAAAAAATCTTTATCTATATCTACAATAACATCAAACTTTTTTAATACCACTTCATGTTGAACTTTTCTTTGCCATTATTGATTTTTAATATTCCAATCTTTAATACCATCAACCCACTTAGCATAATAAATAGTAGTATAACCACCTTTTGCTATTTGTTTAATATTTTGAAATCTATCATCCATTCTATTACTTTAAAATAACTATCAGCTTTTAATTGAGCATCTTGAATAAATTTATCTATCGTTTCATTTCCGCTTGTCCGTTTATCAAAAATTATTTTTGAAATGTGTTGAGATGCACGGTTTGCACCAATAACCATTATATTCTTGATTGCATTCTGGCATACTTTAGACATTTTTTGTTTGCTTATAGTGTACATGGTAGAAATTTATTTTTTTTAAAAAAACCTATAAATAATTGTATCGGAATTTTAAGGATGTCGTGTAACATCTGAATTTTTTATTTAATCATGCACGTTTCTTCTAAATTATTTAAATTATTTATAAAGATGTTGTTAAATTCAAAATTTTAGAAATTGTTCAAGGGGAAAATTTAAGATAACAATTACTGTGAATAAAAACAAGAACTACCTAATAATTAATAATGTTTCTTTTGACAACCAATATAAACTTTCGAAGTAACAAAAATTCAAAATTTACTCATGTTCCTTTTCCCGAAAACCAGGAAATACCCGAAACCCTTGATACCGAAGAATACATATCAGTTTGTATCTGCCAATAATATGAAAGATAATTGAATCCTCCGACGCATATTGAACCAATCAAAAAAAGATATTCAACATTCATCTAATTTAATTATTTAGAAAGGAAAGATATAAATTGCAAAGATTTTAAATTAAAGAAAAGGTTGACAATTCTTCGCCTCATACGCATCTCTCCCTTGCCTCATCCTTGCCCTATTCCTCGATCTAATAATTCCTGTAACAATGTCCCGAAGAAAAATCTTGGACACCTAGACTCAGTTTTACCCCACTATTAACTAACTTAACTATAGCAAGAGAGAGAATGTTACATAGTTTCCTTTTAAACGACATTTCGAAAATACAAATTTTCCCATGAGAAAAATGTTAGTCATATATGAAAAATTTGTTAAAAGTAAAATGTAATTTAGTGTGGGAAATTAATAATTTAATGATCAAATTATCAGTTCTGGCTGAGATATTTTAAAAGTAAGATCATAATATATTAATATTATCATATTGTACTTTTTTCTCTTTTTAAAAGAAAAATGTGTTAGATTACTCTCTAAGATTTTCCAATTTTGGGTCACGAAAATCTTCACAAAAAAAAGCGTTCAAATGTATAACGAGACTTCGCTAAAACAGGAACAGACTAAATTTCTTTAAAAATAAATTACAATAACTAGCAGTTAAGAACAAGATTATGCATTCGCTGTATATGAGAAGCTTTATTTTAATGTGGATACATTTGGATTCTATTTTGATATGAAATGGGTTCGTTGTAGTCAAGGTATTGTACATTTTACATGTCCCTGGATTTTTTTACTGTCCCTATATCCGCGTATATATTTTTAATCGTATTTGTAAGCTGCATCATGTATTGTGATGTCATCCGAGTTGCGAGAGTAGAGTATTTAAAAATAAATAATATAAATGAATCATTGTAATTAATGCAAAAATAAGTATGATCATAATTTAATCGTAAAAAGATACACAAACCTCACAAAAAGAACTATATCAAATATTTTCAAGCCTATCCATAAAAGTATAAAATGATGCATTTGAAACCAAAGTTGAAAAACTTGCACGAAATGTGGAATAGTTATATATTAATATTACTATATGTGTAAATATTAATAGGAATTATTGTCTGATCAGTATTTAGCACCTTCAACCCTCCCAGCGATTCTTCAAGATGAACACACTTCCCGCATCGTCATTCGCACCATGAAAGAATGTACGTTCCAAGGTAATCCAGGGTTGGTAATTCAATGGGATGATAAAGGATTTAATGATGTACAAACTGCTCCTGGTTGTCGTAATGGTGTTCCTGGTCAGATGAAGCTTGCTATTATCAACCACTTGGTAAGAAATGGCGCTGTCGATGTTTTCGGTTTAAATCTCGTTTTCATGTTTAGAAATCCGGAAGTATTTGCCGATTGTGAAATTACAATTCCTGAATGAGGATTCTATTCTCTTTAATATAATTTTATCCGTTTCCTCATGGTTTTCCTTTTTCTACTAAAGGGCTTGTGCCCCAGATGCCATATGTAGAATTGATAGGACACTCAATACACGACACGACCGAGCGATTCCTTCATGTCCTTAACAGATGATTTCTTAATATTGTAATTCATATTTACAACCTTAAATTTAATATTAGTGCTAATAAGGGATTGTATTATCATGTATTATTTGTATTGATGTTTTCCATACATAAATCGCGTTAACTTTTTCAATTCGTTAATGTTCAAAGTATTTTTTTTTATTTCGCTATTATGCATAATATATACTGAATCATAACTCTTAACTATCCCCTAGGTCAGTACGTGTTTTTTATATAAGTGACAGAACTTCAAGTAACAATTTTATTGATCGCCAATCGCGTGAACCATTTCTTTAAATAACGAAGGAAAATTGTAATTTATATACATATTTTATATTTACTTTCTTTACACTGCACAAATTCAGAGATAACGGAATAACACATTAGTCACTTTACATATACGTATTTATACATATTTTGTAATTTGAAGCTAAATAAATGTAAAATAACATAATTACGTGCTTATGCGTATATGTTGGTTACTATGATTTGTCGTGAAAATACAAAAACCAATATAACAAATACATAAAGCGAATTTCAAAAATATAAAGGATTGTTGACATGTTCCTATACAATTTACCTGGATATTTTTTTTACAGAGCTATTTTTTAAACGTTACATTTTTTCTATACTTTGTTTATATTACATGTATACAGTATTCCGAATAATATATTACTGAAATAAAAAAATCGAGCATTAGTTATCCTTTCTTCTTAATACAAATCCCGTATGGCCTAACGTCTTTGCTTCTTCTGGAAATCCAATATTCGCCAACTTCAGTCGAAACCCTATGTAAATTTACAGGGTTTACTCGATTTTGAATAACTGCCATATATATTTGCCCTTCAAACGGAAATTCCGCTGCATACATTTCTGCTATTTTTATGTTGGGTGTTGAATAAATGCCATGCCCAAAAGCAAAACGTTTTCCTTTGCTCAATAAATATCCATCCTCTGCAATTGAATTCGTGTTATTCTTAGCAGTACCATGATATGATACTGGCCAGGAATTGTTATCGATACCAAGCCATGTGTCATCGCCATTATCATACTTCCCAGTGACTTTTATAGCGAATCGTCTCCAGCCATATGGTTTTTGATACTGAATACCCCCTCGCATAAATGTCTCTCCTTTATCACCAATATTCGTAAAATCACAATGGTACTTTGGGTCTAAAAAATCCGAGTTCAAGTAACTATATACGTAACAACCACCACGCAGGCGCAAAACGAGATGTAATGTAGATTCTTTTTCAATTCCGTATTCAGCACACGTTCTATCATCTTTCAATTGCTGAGCTGCAAAAATAAACCTTTGCTGATCTGGTGGAATTCCTTCTTTATCCCGAATTTTCTGTTTTAAATAGTAAATTGTATCACTTTCTTCGAATTCAAGCGTCACAGTTTTGCCAGTAAGTGTTTTCACGTAAAGCCGAGATATATCTTCCCCATCCACAATACCGCTAACAAGATTGGATTGTTGAAAGGAATTCAAGTCAATTTGATTATAAATGGAACCATCGTGACGGGCTTGCTTTTCTTGAAATTCTTTTTCGGATATAAAAATTGTGCCCTCCTTTCTAAATGCGGCTGTGAATGCTGCATTAAGAAGGTTTATGTCATTAAAGTTTGTCATGGTTTATTATGAATTTATAAATTTACAGAAAATGGAATTTGTTGATATAAACAAACTTAGCACATAGTTGTATTAGTTAAACGTATAGTAAGAGAGAAAACAATTAACGTTTTTTTTCAAGAGGTAATACAACATATGGTTCCGTTTATGTCACATTTCAAAAAAGTATCATTGTCCCGGATTAAAAAGGCAGTGTTGTTGTTTATTGTTTATTGGCCATTATTATTTATTATCAGTAGTTATAACATCTATTATAAAATGATAATCAAAAATTTATATTTAATTAAAAAAAAAGTTAATAGGTTATCGGAAATAAAAAATTTTACTAACAATAATTATTTTTATATAAAAGTTTACTAAAATTTATATATATGATTTATATAATAAAAAAATTCAATTAAAGCCTGATTCCTTGACGATCACTAATTCAAATTTTGCTAAAATTTAAAGGTAATATATAGACTTATAAATTATATAAAAAGATAGATTAGAATATATCTTATATTATATAAAATTATAAATATATTATTAAAATTCAAAAGCTTTTATACATAGACAAAAAAATTTTTTAAGGTACAAAACTTGCACCAGACCATATCAAAAAATGTCGGACCTTATAAGACAAGTTTTTCAACAATGCAAAGAGAAAAGTAAGAAAAATAAGATCAAATAAACGATATTAAAAATTCAAATGAATATTAATTATTAATTATTTTTAGAGCGTCCGGTATTTGTTGCATTTATCACCGCGGGATACCCTGAGCCAGAAGATTGTGTCGAAATTCTGCTTGGACTTGAGGAAGGGGGTGCCGATATAATAGAACTCGGTACTATAAATTATTTTTACGGTCATCTATTGTAATATTTAACAATACATATTAAATACAATTAAAATTTAGGAATACCCTTCACCGATCCTTTGGCTGACGGACCAGTTATTCAAGAATCCAGCAATGTAATAAATTTATGTATATTTTGTGAATGTTACTATTTTTTGACACAAATAGATTTTATATGTTGAACTTATTAATAGGTAGCTCTTGAACATAAAGTCGACATTCCACAATGTTTGTCATTTGTTTCTCAAGCACGAGCCCGTGGTCTCAAGGCACCTGTAATCTTTATGGGTTATTACAATCCAATTCTGAGTTATGGAGAAGAAAAAATAGTAGAAGATTGTAAAAAAGTCGGAATTAATGGTTTTATTGTAGTTGACTTGCCACCAGAAGAGTGTGATAATTTACGAGAAATTTGCACGCGTTATGGGTAAAAGATTTTTCTCATTTTTCTCATTTTACGCGTTATAGATCTATCCGAAACATAAACTTTTATAAATATTACTATTATTAGCCTAAGTTATATACCTCTTATGGCTCCTTCAACAACCGACTCTCGCATTAAGCACCTTGCACATTTTTCCGATTCATTCATCTATGTCGTATCAAGGTTGGGAACAACTGGTTTTCGCGATCATGTTGATAAGGGGTTGCCAAATCTTATTTCCAGAATCCGTAAATACACTGACTTACCTCTTGCAGTTGGATTTGGAGTTACAACTAGAGAACATTTCAAAAGTGTTGCATTACACGCTGAAGGCGTAGTAATCGGCAGTAAAATTATAAATGTTCTGAAGGAAGCTGGTATGTACATTTTGTTAACTGACAAATAATAATTTGTTTTTTTTTTGTTCTAGAAATTTTAAATTTTGAAATAATAATTCTTTAAAACTGACAAATATTAATAATCAATAATTAACTTTAGAAAAAGGAAAACGTGCTGAATTAGTAAAATCTTATGTGTCTCAAGTATGTGGCTTATCAGAGAGGAACCAACTAGAAAGTAAGCATCTAATCCTTTTTTTCATTTTTTTTATAATTATTTTATTCATAAAAATTACAAAAAAAAACCCCCTAATTAGATAAATTTGATAATGAAAATGCGAACAAAAGTCCAACCATTCAAAGTAATGAAAGTAATCTCGGAATCTCAAATGAAGATGTAATTCATATCACTATTTCATTTATTGGAATTTTCTAGATATGTTCAGTAATTTTATTAATAATTATTATGTCATCAGGAAAGTATGCAACCTATTATATCTGCTCGATTTGGAGAATTTGGGGGACAATATATTCCAGAAGCTTTATTCGATTGTATACAAGAGCTTGAAAAGGTATGAATAACTACCTTTCTGGCAATAATTGATCATATTAGTGTAATTATTTATAAGGAAAATAATTGTTATAAATTATTAGGCATTTGTTTTAGCCAAAGATGACCCTAAATTTTGGGAAGAATTTCGTTCATATTATGATTATATGGGACGAGAATCACAACTTCAATTCGCTAATAGATTAACAGAACATGTTGGTGGTGCAAAGATTTGGTTAAAACGAGAAGATTTAAATCATACAGGTTCACATAAAATCAATAATGCGATTGGACAAGCTCTTCTTGCCAAACGTATTGGAAAAAAGAGAATAATTGCAGAAACTGGCGCTGGTCAACATGGTGTAGCAACAGCAACAGTTTGTGCAAAATTTGGTTTTGAATGTGTAATTTATATGGGCAGTGAAGATGTTCGAAGACAAGCTTTAAATGTATTTAGAATGAGATTATTAGGTGCTAAAGTGGTCTCGGTAAATTCAGGTTTGTCGCTTTGGATGATGATCTTGATTGTTCAATATTTTCGTTAGTTCATAACTCTAAAAAAGAATTTTCATTTTACAAAGGTAGCAAGACATTAAAAGATGCTATTAATGAAGCTATGAGAGATTGGGTAACAAATGTAAGCGATACACATTACCTTGTTGGTTCGGCGATAGGGCCTCATCCATTTCCTACGCTTGTGAGAGAATTTCAATCTGTAATAGGAAAAGAGGCCAGAAAGCAAATGTTACAGAAAGCTGGTAAATTGCCCGACGTTGTGATTGCCTGTGTTGGAGGTGGCAGTAATGCTATAGGAACATTTTATCCGTTTATAAACGATCAAAATGTTAAATTCATTGGTGTTGAAGCTGGTGGTGATGGTAAATATTATTTTGATAGATTTCAACTTTTGAATTAACGATAAAATTTTTATTAACATTGAGAATATTGATGACAATAATCTTAGGTATAGATACGGAATTTCATTCCGCAACCTTATCTGCGGGTACACCGGGCGTGCTACACGGAACTCGAACATATTTATTACAAGATGATAAGGGTCAGATTAAATCAACACACAGTATTAGTGCCGGTCTAGATTATCCAGGTGTCGGACCAGAACATGCATGGCTAAAAAATATTGGCAGAGCTGAATATTCTGCTGTTACCGATAAGGAAGCTTTAATTGGTTTTAGAAAGTTGTCAGAATTAGAGGGTATAATTCCAGGTATTTATATTATTTTTATACCCTTTATATCTTATTTGTTAATGAACTCTGTGTCCATCTGAGCTTAGCATTTTATTCACATCTATTTATTTGTATAAAAATAGCACTTGAAACAAGTCACGCGATTTATCAAGCACTTATAGTCGCTCCAAAAATGCGTAAGGACCAAGATATCCTAATATGTCTTAGCGGTCGCGGAGATAAAGATGTTCAAACTGTCGCTGAATTTTTACCAAAATATGGACCCTCAATTGGATGGGATTTACGATTTTGAAGAAATTATAATATAATTGACTCAATGTTGTAAACTTCAAAAAATATATAATTTATTTTAGTTATTTAACGTATTTTTTTATCATTTTTTTTTTAAAATAGAAAATCATTTCAATAAAGAAAATAATTTCCAATTTTTAAAAATTATATATATACATATATTGAATATTTCATTCATGTAAAAACTACTTGTTTCTCTCGGGGCGAAGTTTTCGTACTTCTTTACCTGCCATCCACATTTCACTTTCACTATAAATATTATTTCATAAAACATAAACATAATAGCATTCATTAGTCATTATAATTACTTTTTGATTAACTTTATATTTTTCCATATAAAATACCTAAGTTCTTTCAATTCTACTTCTAATTCTTCCCGATAATTAGGTGCAGAGTTCTTTTCTAGTGTACGACGTGTTTCAACTCCATCGGCAACTGAAGAATACAGCTTTTCAAAAACAGGTTTAGCTGCATCACGAAATGGTTTATACCAATCGAGAGCACCCCGTTGTGCTGTTGTCGAACAGTTAGAATACATCCTTAAAATTATAGATTAATTATTATATGTTAAATAACCATAAATAATAAATTTAAAATATTGTAAACACTTTCAGTACCAATCCATTCCATTTTGCCCAATTAATGGGTACAGAGATTGAGTTGCCTCTTCTACAGTTTCATTGAATGCTTCGGAAGGACTATGTCCTCTTGCTCTTAATACTTCAAATTGAGCGAGAAATAATCCTTGGATGGCACCCATAAGCACTCCGCGTTCACCAACAAGGTCTGAAAAAACCTCTCTTTGGAATGTGGTCTCGTAAAGGTATCCTGAACCAATAGCAATCCCTAGGGCAATAGCTTTTTCTTCAGCTTTTCCGGATATATCTTGAAATACGGCGAAGGATGAATTTATACCACGACCTTCAAGAAAGTGTGAACGAACGGTTTTGCCAGAACTATAAATAAAGACAATCGATAAGACAAAAAAAAAAATTTTAAAGTGTATTAAATTGAGTTTCATATAAATAAGAAATATAAAAGATCCGTCAATATTTACCCTTTCGGTGCTATCATAATTACATCAATATCTGTTGGTGGAACGACATGAGTTTGATCCTTGTAGACAATTGAAAATCCATGAGAGAAATATAAAGTCTTCCCTTTTGTCAAATGTGGAACGAATTGTGGCCAAAGTTCTTTCTGTGCCGCGTCGGAAAGAAGATTACCCACAATTGTTCCTTTTTTGAGAGCCTCTTCAATATTAAAAAGGTCTTTTCCGGGTACCTATATTATTTTACCATTGTTCACTTAATTTGTTAAATAGAAAAATAAAAAAATAAATTTTAATAAAGAATGATGCTATTACCCAACCATCTTGTAAGGCTTCTTTCCAACTTCTGCCTCCTTCTCTCAAGCCAAGAATTACGTTTATCTTATTATCTTTAGCATTCAAGCTCTGTCCCCTTCCTTGCGGACCATATCCAATGATGGAAATAGTATCGTTTTTAAATAATTCACGAATTTTATCTATTGGATAATCAGACCTTTCGTGCACTCGTTCTTTCGTGTCACCAATAGAAATTGTCCGAATTCTTCTGAATTGAGTTGGTTGGACGCGTTTAACAATGGGAAACTTAAATTGACGATAAATTTTTATTGTTAAGAAAAAAATTTTATTACTTTCATAATAAAATTTATAAAATTATAAAATTTAAACTTAAAATACCTTGGAAATTCGAGCTTCACCCAAAAACCGCGAATTTGATAATATTGAAAAGGATCTGGAAGTTATGAATTTAGATCTAAGTTGTAGAGTAATCGTTGAAATGCGAGAAGACGACCGAGCTAGAAGAGACGAAGAATTCATTTTTTTTTTTTCAAAGTCTGATTTTTTTTTGAAAGTTACACTATCACCTACTTAAATATCAGATTTTTTTTTTTCATGCAGTGAATTAGAGGTGCAGACATATTGGCATATTTCTGTAACTAGAGGTGCAGACATTGTCGTATCGTATCCCAATCAAGGGTAGAGATGATGGCGAAACTACTTGATTTCATCAGAACATAATAATGGTGTGTGAACGTTATCTTTTTTTATTACTATTAAATCATCATTTTATTTTTTCAGACGTCACATATGTGGTATAAAAATATCAAGACATTAAATCTTCACCTTTTTGTTCTTCAGAAGTACTAACCTTTCTAAAAACGATTTCCATTGCTAAAAATTCCGTGCTTAAAATATTCTTTACAATAATGACATTTATACTCAAGTACATATTTGATATCATTCATAATGATACGTAGTCGTGGAATTTTAACATTATCAAACATATCTTCAGATTCTAACAATGTAATCGTTAGTAATAATCATTAATAATAGCAATTTTTTTACCTTTATTCATGAGAGTATTGTATCTTTGATCATTTCAATACAATAGTCATGGAGAACTTTCATTAAACGTATGACCATAACCTTTCCTTCACTTTCTAACTCCTAAGAAAATAAAAAATAATATTTATTAATTAATTAATATAATTAATAAATAAATAAATAAATAAATAAATAAATAAATAATAAATGAAAACCAACCATTATAGCATTTGTCAAATTGATGCAATCATCAAGTTCCTTGTATGGCATTCCACGCGAAACACCGACCTTTTCTTGTCTTTCTCTCAAATGATTTAACAAGTCTTCTTTTGATCTAATAGCATATTCCGGCTATAACAAAAACATATTTATTAATGATAAAATTTAATCATCATTGTTGTTATTATTATTATTATTATTATTATTATTATAACCATCTTATATTGAAATGTTCTATTATAAATTCTTTCGCTGTTTGGTGAACATTCGCTTTTTCCTATTTAAAAGATTTTTCAAAAGATTTTTAATATATATTTTATTGAGATCAAAACTTTCAAACCAATTCACTAATTGACTATTTTTTTTGATTTATACCACAGGTCGAATTCATAATAATTAAGATCAAAACTTTCAAGCTATCTAACATCTAATAATACTTCTTTAATTAATTAATTATCATACTTCTTTAATTAATTATCACGTAATCAAATACATACAAGAAGTGAATATTATTTAAATTCATAATTATTTAGATCAAAGTTTCTAACATCTAATAATACTTCTTTAATTAATTATCGCGTAATCAATATTAAACTAATTAAATATTAATTAATCTTGATAATTAATATTAAAGGTTAGAATTTGGATTCATAATTAATGAAATTAAAGTTTTAAAATAATTTAATATCAACTAATACTTTTCCAATCCATTGTAAATGTAGGAGGTAAATATTTATATTTATAACTATTTCAATATAGAGTTTTTATAATTGCTTATTTTAAATAATACATTTTAGTGATGACAAGAAATATGGAAAATGCAAAGACTGCCAACAATATGAGAAAATGCAAAGATTGCCAACAATATGAGATAATACTGCTAATAATTGGTGTAATGCATGTAATGGCATAAGATTTTAAAGCGAATTTAATAAATGGACAAGTGAAGATGCAGAAATTGATGGGTTTATTCAACAAACTCAACTTAAGGCAACTAAATATGAAGAAGTTATTGAATGGATTCCATTTGATAGATTTAATAATATTGAATATCTTGCTAAAGGAGGCTTTGAAAAAGTTTTCAAGCTGATGGAATTAATCATTTATTCAGTATTGGGATTATGAAGATGTTTGCTTAAAAAGTCTTAATGCTTCTTCAAGTAAGGGTGAATTTTTACAAGAGGTAAAATATTTTATATAGTAAAATTTTTATTAATTGAATAAACATTAATAATATTGAACTGATTAATATTTTAGATAAAAATCAACTCATATTTTGAGGTGTAGAGCAATTGTAATATACGGAATAACTAAAAATCCAACAGAAAATGAATATATGATAGTTATGCAATATGTAAAATATGGTAGTCTATGAAAAATGTTGAATAGTATCTTTAAAGTATAACTTGGTATAATGAAATTAAGAATTTATATTACATAGCTTTAGGGCTTGCTAGAATTCATAGAACTGGCTTAATGCACAAAGATTTCACTCTGGAAATATAGTTAATGAAACTAAAATTAGTTCTTATATCACTGATTTTGAATTGTGTAAGCCAGTTTCACAATGTGATAAAGAAAAAATTTATGGAGTAATTCCATATATGGCACCTGAAACATTGAATAGAGGAGAATATACTCAAACATCTGACATTTACTCATTTGGTATGATTATGTATGAAATTTTTACTAGTTATCCTCTTTATTATAAAATACCACATAATGAAAAACTTATGATTTTAATTTTAATTTATAATGATCATAAACCTGAAATAATGTGTGAGATTCCACAGTTGCTCAAAGATTAAATAGAAAAATGTTAAGATACTGATCCTTCCAATTATCCAAAAGCTATAGAACTCATGAAATATTTTTGATTGTGATTATAATAGTGAATTATATAAACAGATTGAAAAAGCTAACAAGACTAATAAATTAAATAAGAACTTTGTTCAATATGATCCAAAAATGATACATCCTCAAGCAATATATACAAGTAGATATTTGCTTTTTCTGAAACCAAAAAAAGCTGAACATAGTAAGTATATTTTTTTAAACAAATAATTATTTTATAAAAATATTTACATAAATTTTATTTAAATACAAACTAGTGAGATTTTGAAATCCTTGAAGATGTAAGTAAGTATTGTATTTTTTGAATTTAGAAACATAATTAACAATATTTAGATTTGCATAGTTGAAGAAAATGAAACTCTAGAGAATTAATCATTAATTTATTTTCTGTTTAGTCTTGATATTGTAATAAATATTAGCAATAGTTATTTTTATTTATCATCATCTTAAGTAGGGGGAAAATGGGTGTTCTGGTTCAGCACTAGTCATCTTGCTATATTTCATGCCTCAAAATCATCACCAAGCATATCATTTTTTGTACATCAATTCAAGCTTTTTAAGTCACTGGAACTTGATCCTATATACCATGGTTCCTGTGTGGTGAAAAAAAAATTTTTTGCACGTCATTTTTATATCAAAGTATATTAATTTTATATATATCTAGAACACATTTAATTATCCAAATTCATATCAAAAAGGATATCAATTATTTATGATATTATTTGATATAGTAGAATTCATTCTAAAGTCGATTCTTCACTACTTTTCTGGCTCACAAAAATCTAACAAAAACTATATATATATGTTAAGTCTAACAAAAATTTACACCTAAGTGTATCAAAATTTATCAATATATATGCTAAGTCTAACAAAAAAAAATGA